TCGTTCCTCTTCGTGTAAGTGTGAACCAAGCAGTGTCCCTGTCAACAGCAGCAGGAGCACACTGACTAGATCCTCACCTTCTAGCCCAAAGGTCTTCAGTTCGAATTCATATCAAGTCAGATTCTTTACCAGATGGACATCATCCGCCTAGTCCAAACTGGTCTATACAAATAGACACTAACTGTCGTAGGTATTATGTGTACGTAAAAGCAAAAGACAAAAGTGAGAAATCAAGAAGATTTATTGCAGATATTCATCATAATGTCTCTTTAAAAAAAAACATTGAATTTTAATTATTCATTTCTGACACACGTGGTTTGTCTTTTCTTATAAAGGCACAACACATGCTCCCCTAAGTTCCACCCCCACCCCTCTTGAAGTTGACGCACAATACCGTCTCCCCTGGCCCTGTTCACTTTCTCAGGTGTCTGTATTTTGTTTCACAAAAACAATGCAGGTTCTCTTTCACACACGAACACCCAGACACAGTTGCACATGTTCCTATAGTGTATCTTAAAAGCATAATACAGACTTTCTTTCATACTTACAAACATAAACACCAAACAGACCATGTGGCTGCAGGATGTCTTAATATAATCGATACAACCCCACCCACCCATACGCACACATAAATGCACCTGCAATGCGTCCTAAACGCTGAATAAAAGTTTTTTCATACGCACCCAGACGCACACACACACACACACACACACACGGGCACACATTCTTCCATATGTGTGTTGTAAACACACATTTATTCAACTTGTTTTTATTTCTCTCCATTTTTTGTTCTCAATCGTCTGTTTCATTTATTTTGTTTCGTAATTTAACCATTCATGTCCATAATGCCCCCCCCTCCCACCCACACTTTTATGCTTTTTCTTGGTTTCATGTTGACATTAGTTGTTTGGAAGCTCTGCTGTCTTGTCCGTTGAAGCTTCCAGTCATATTTTATGTTGCACTCTGTTGATAAAGACATTGGTAGAAATGTTTGGCTGTATTTGTACTCGTCTGTTCCATACCCTTCATTTAGCTGTCGAATCACATTTTCTGTTGTGATTTAGCACTACATGTTGAGCTACTAGATCTGTTTGAACAGACTTCACTGATATCAGTTGGAAAAAAAGAAAAAACTTGATTGTAAAAATAAGTATCACTCCCAATATTATTGACACCCGTCTAATTATATGTCAGCATTGTGACAGCAGGTGGCACTGACAAGAATGAATACTGAAGACAGCGAAAGATCATTCTCACTTACGCAACACGGCTGTCATTAAGTAAGTTCCCATATTATTCTTCTCGAAGCTTTCTGATTTACGTCAGTATCTGGCTTGGGATATCGTTTATCGTCTATGTGTGTGTCTATGATCACGACTTTATATGAATGAATCAATAACTGATATCACTGCACTTAGGACATTTCTGTTTGTGCTCCGTCATCCTCTTCAGTAGCCAACGAAGGGTCGTCATGCTAATAAATGTTGCAACCTGAAAAAAGCCCCCCCCCCCCCCTCCTCGTTTCCCCCTCAATGTGAATATCTTCCACACCTCCACACCCCAGTCATTGAATGTATGGATTATCTGTCTTTTCTGTCGCACTGTCCATCTAATCCATAGAGCCTTCACCATATTCGCTTTATCGTCAAGTATCTCAACACCTAGAGGAGCGGTAGCAGCTAATCTATCAACCTGCTGGTCACCTCGCCCACCTGAAAATACTGGACAGAAAGTCCATAATATTCTCCTGATCTGGGTCTTATCAAGTGATGCAAGCCACTCTGCGTGCAGGACACCAGTTTTAATTTTCTAAAGAATGTTCAGTGAGTCTGTTAAGATTACAACATGTCAAGCCATCAGAGAGCTGCCATTACTGCCTCTACCTCTATTCTCATAAAAAGCAGTCTCAAGCCATACTCCATAACCGATAAAATCAGATGCTGGTAGTGTGTATAGATATGTTCTGCCTCATTTCTGTCGATGTCATCACATTCAAAGAACTGAGTCATTTTCCTGTCCTTAAATCTATCTCTTCCACGCGGTGTTTCAAAGACACTCTCCTGTAAAAAGTTATTCCCAGGTATTTTAGTTTAGTGAATTATCTCTCTTTGTGTTACAGCCGTTTTTTGGGGATGTCCGGCAGATCTCTCTCTCTCTCTCTCTCTCTCTCTCTCTCTCTCTCTCTCTCTCTCTCTCTCTCTCTCTCTCTCTCTCTCTCTCAGGAAGGTGAAATTATGATATATATATATATATATATATATATATATATATATATATATATATATATATATATATATATATATATATATATATATATATACACACATACATACATAAATATTTATACATAAAGTAAAGATCCCTTTAAACGCCTTATGCGTATCGGGCATATGGGAAGAACGTCCCATATTTTTACAGACCAATCGGCACTGGGTGGGTAATGTTGTCAGTATTACGCCGGCCGTCTTCACTTCACTAGGTCAGCCATCCTGGTACCCATTTCAGGCTGGGTCAACCTGCGACTACCCCATATCATGATACAAATCCACACAGCCAGTAGTGGGTTTCGATCGCGGTACGTTGGAATTACGAGTCGGACTCGCAACGCTTAAGCCAACGACACCGCATATGTATATATTTCGGTCTTTCCAGACCATAGTGTTATATTGTAGTATTTCGAGGCATGGCAATAACAGCATATAGCGGTGACGTCTTTCCATCTTCCGATGATAGCACAAGGCCTAAACAGTATTGTAGAGACAATGCGTTGTCATTCATTGTTTACTCAAAAGGAAATTGTACAAAAACATATTTGAAACAAAGCTTGCTGTAAAGACTGCCAGGTCATAACAGCAGTGCCATGCCTGTCCGCCTGTTTGGGCTTTCCTCCTAAACCAGCTGCCAAACCAAGGGTATGGGTCTGATCTGTCATGGCATAACATGAAATTATCACGCTGCATGTTCTCTTCCTAGGAAAAGAATAGTACCCTCCCCAGTGTGCTCCGACGCCCGAAGTAATTGGCACAGGTGGCGTGTCCAGTTAAAAAAAAAATACTATGTTGGTTACCCAACAATCCAGGAAGCCTCCGCGGTGTAGCAGCTAGACGCTCCCCGGCACATCGGAAGGTCGTGAGTTGTGGTACCAGGGAAGTAAATTCGGCTGACGTTATGCTGACCACGCCACCCACAAAGTACCGATTGGTCTATAAAACATGGGTCAAGCCCTGCATGCCCAATATGCCTGAAGACGTGGAAAAGGGTCCCTACTGTTACTGTTCACCACATCTGGTATCAACAACCAACATACTACAGTTGTACTGTAGCTTAGTCATGTCTCTGACTGTGATAAGACTATATATCTATAAGTAATTAACTGAACTAATATTGCACGATCACTATACTGAATCTGATGGCGTTATTAACAACTGTCACTTTGAAGTCAAAGTGTCGCCTGTAGCAAACTGTTACTTTGATACAATGCTTGGCCTAAAGCACATCGAAGTAATTAAGAGACTTAATCTTTCCTGGTCACTAAAAGTGCCTGTTTATCTATGCAGTATGATGGTAAATAAGGAAATTGTCTTGAAACAAACTGACTGACTCGCGCACTTTCACTTCTTAAATGTTTGTTTGTGAAGATAAAACTAACAGCTAACTTCGCAGCTAAAGCCAGACAACTTGTACATAAAGAGCTTTCAGCAGCACGGTATCTCCATGTAGTGTCAGGAGGAACAAGCTATGTCTGATCAAATAGTCTTCTTCTTCTTCTCTTCCACCTTCTACCTCATCGAAGTGTCGGGGGAGATGTAATGTTCGTTGATTATCTCTGTCAAGAGCACTATAAAGATTGATGTTCATTTCTGTAAGGTTGTTCTTAATGCCATCACTACATATTTTCAGAGGTCTTCCACTCGTTTTATACCCGTTGTAACGTTTTATGTGGCTCGCTGTGGCAGATAGTACCAGGGCATTCTTGTTAGGTGTCCAAACCACTTCATTTGTTGTTCTTTGATGACCTGTAAGACTGGCTTTAATCCTAGCATTCGTCTGATTTCGTGATTTCGTATTCTGTCTTTCCTTGAAACTCCTGCAGCTCTTCTAAGGCATTTCATCTCTGTTGTCACAATTTTACGTTCATTAAACAATGCCAGACGTGGACATTTACATCCTCCAATGAACGTAAAATTGTCACAACAGAGGTGAAATGCCGTAGAAGAGCTGCAGGAGTTTCAAGGAAAGACAGAATACGAAATCACGAAATCAGACGAATGCTAGGAATAAATAGTATTCAAATAGTATTGGCGTGAATCCAGCAACCAATGAAGTGTTAGTGTATCCTTTAGGTTTGTTATCAGCATACAGGAGAAATGTGGATAGATAATTAAGTATGTAACACAATATACGTTGCCAATTTAACAAATAACACGTTTATGCTTTGTTTACTGTGGCTATTTCCGTCTGCAACCAGATCTGGGACTGAAAGAGTTCAGATTAAACATTTCCCTAGAAACATGTCTAGTTCAGAGATGGCGACTCATAGACATTCTTGGAGGGGGTCAGATACCATTTTTAAGAAGGCGGACAGGGGATGAGGAGCGTTAAAGGGGGGGGGGAACTTACGTCTTGTTAAAGTGCGCAGTGATAATAATATTAGAATATTATTATATTTATTTTTTTTTCGCTAAATGGCAAATACGTATAATATATTTGAAATAATTTGAAATGTATCTATACCGTGTGTCCGTAAAGTCATGGTACACATTCCTATGTGGCGGCGCTTCGTAGTGCACCATGACATTACAGATAGAGTGCAGACTTTAAAAAAAAAAAAAAACGACTATACATGTTTAAAGGTACCATTTAACCCCACTGTAAATTTTGTAGAGGAGGGTGGCAGACTTCGTTAAGAACTGGGGAAAGTGGGGAGGGGTGCAAGTTGTCTAATGTTCCGGTGCCCCTGGCCCGGGCATATTCAGATAACACTTATTAACAGCTGTTCATTAAACAGGAGAATGTAAATCGTCCATTACTCGTAGTTGATTGTACGAGTTATTGTTCCTTGTCGAAGCTGTCGCCTTCACCTCGTATATATTACTGCACGAACTGAACGGTTTCACCGTTCTGGTCGACTTATTACTACACTTAGTACTGCAGGTACTTAACGTATTACTGTTGCTGAGCGATATAGAATCCGTCATTCTTCCTTTATTCCGCCGGACGTTGTGATCAAAAATTGCAGGCGACGAGCAGTACCTTGGAGGACCATCAGGTGTAACGACTTCCGCCATTGCCAATCGCTTCCTTTCAACTTGGACGACAATCAGACGATAAATGAGTAGTACAATCACTATCGTATTTTTGCAAGTGAAAAACATATTTGTGTAGCTCAAAACAAAGTATTTAAAAATCAGCAGCATTCGCAACATTAAGAACGGCAGATCTTGCAGGAGTATAGAGATAATGATGCCGTAGACGTCAGCATTGCAGCAACCATCGTAGCCAGCTTGTTGGCTGAAGGGGATGAGGCCGCTACGATCTCTTCGCACTCTGGATGCAGTTAGGACTAGGGAAAACTGGATCAGGCTTAGCGACCAGATTCCCAGGATGATGATGCACAGCATTCGGTTGTGACTCACCTGAAAGATAAGACGCAAGGAAAGATAAGTGGAACAAAAATAAAATCAAGAAACAGCTTTTGTAGTCGTATGTTTCATCTTTCTACCCGTACATCATTGATGAAGTTTCTGATTTCAGGCAGACTATTTCAGGTAATCAGGTCATCAAAGTTTTAACTTCATAGCAAATGGGTCACCCTATAAATGCTCTGTTTCTGCGGCAACGGAAAATATACGGAATGTTTATTGCATTTCCTTTTGAAATAATTGACACATACTGTAGTCTCAGAAAAGCCTATAGTATAGGCTATAGAATACACACACACACCCACCCACACACACATATTAAATGCATTTTATCATCATCATCCTTTGTGTGCCGTTAGACGTCATATAGGGCTATCATTCGACTCCTCTACTCCGCTTTATTTTCTTCCCTGTAGTATTAATGTTCTTCTTAATGTTTCCTCTGGACGTCTTCTTTTTCTAAGACTGTTTCCTATTTGAGTGCCAGTTTTGTATTTTTAGTCCCTGCCTTCTCTGTCACCTTCTTCTGCAGTCGATACAGGTATGTGTCCAGAAATTGAGTTGATCTGACTCTTTCTGAATTCTTCGAATTTTATGTTGATGATTTTTCTCGGACATTTATTTTCGAATGTATGTAACTTTTGTTCCATATCTTTGGTGGTTCTGCACCTGTCGCTGCCATATGTTAGGACTGACGTTATGTTAGATTTAAAGATTTGTAGTCTGGGATTGAAGCTTCAAGACCAAACTACGAATCTGTATAACTCGGAGCTCCAAATTTTGTTAAGATTTTTCAAGAATTTCGTTTTGCCAATGCATATCAGAATTCCTTCGCTTGATCTCCTTAGGAGCCAAAATTGCTGCCCAGATATATGAAATGGTCTGTTACTTTTATTTGTTGTTTCTCTAGCACGACATCTACATGATCTTCTCTTGGTATCTTTAGTGTATTTTTTCTCTCCTAACCTTTAAATTCCTATTGTTGATGTTGTAGACGACAAATTGTCCGTTTTTCTTTGCTTGTTTTTGTTATTTTTGCTTAACAGAACAATATTATCTGCAAAATGTAAATCTTTCATTGGTCAAGTCTCTACCCAATCAATGCCAACATTCTCTTTGCAACAGTTGGTTTTCAATTACCTAATTAATGGCTACTCCAAACAACAAGGCAGATAGAAAACCAAATATTCGCGGGTCGCGAGCCTCATGCGGCTCTTTAGCGACCTGAGTGCGGTTCGGCCAGACGGCTACAAATCCTTTTTAACTCTGAAAAACATTTTTCTTAGCAGGTTCTTGAAATTATCGCCCTGCTGCTGATTTTTGGTTCTTTTGACTTAAGAGTTTGCCGACTACGGACTTTTTTTTTTTGCAGAGCTCACTGCACGTTTTTTTTTTTTTAGTTCGTATGCGATGGCATTCACTAATTCCCTTTAGACAATTTTTAGAGCTCACTGTACATGTTATCAATACAATTCGGGATATTTGATAGTTTATTGTATCAACCGCTTCTTTAATTCTTTTGAGGATTACTTTGGAAAAAAAAAAAGGTTACTGACATAACAGATAATAAGAAAATTCCAGTCTCATTATTGCAGTCCTTAGGATTACCTTTGGAGGAACCGGCGAAAAAAAGATAAAGGGGAAGGGGGGGGGGGGGGGGGGGGGGGAGGTCAAAATTATTTTCCTCTCTTATATTGTACTGAAATTGTTTCCTCTGCCTATATTTTGTTAAATAGTTCTAGCACTTAATAGATAATTGTGTCTTCTGCTCCTTTGAACATTTCTGCTGTAATATTATCATCACCTACCCTCTTGTTATTTACTAGGGATTGTAATGCCTTTTTGATTTCCGCAACATTAATCCGCCCTTCATTTATGAAAAGTGGGTCCTTCAAACACACATAGTTGCGGTTACAAGTGCCAACAATAACAGTCCGGCAATACAGATGCAGTTCACAGGTCGATAGAAGCAGCACACACAAGACAAAAAAAATCGCCGCACACGCAATTGATTGTACAAGGCACCACCAGTTCTTTATGACTAACGGTTGTCAGATGGAAAAACTTGCGACTAAAAACAGTAAGCATTATATCCGCCATATTGGAATGGCCAGCAGATATATGACACCAAAATTGTTTTGGCTACGAAGATGATGTACGATTATGATTCAGATGGTGAGAATTTTGTTGGTTACGATTATTATGTTTTCATAACGTATAATTACAATATATCAAGGAAACAGGTGGACGATGACGTTTACGATATTTCAGGACTGTTATTTGCTAATGGCCAAGTATTTATACCAGAAAAAGAAGAGAGTCTACAGAACCTGCTCAATAAAGTCAGTACCCAGTGCCAGAAATGTAATATGAAAATAACCTTGGAATAGACAGAGACGATGCTGATGACTATACGACAAAACAAAAGTCATTGATAAAGGTACATGGCATAGAGATAAAAACCAACAAGTGAATTTAAAAATCTAGTTTCAAACCAGAAGGAAGATTGGTCAGAGCATTCAAAACATGCTATGCTAAAGCAAACCAGGTTCTGTACCAATTGACACAACTTTTGACGCTTATAATTAAATTGTGTATACCGAGGAAAAATGTAGCAAGAACTATTTTTTGGTTAACTTTAAGCTACCAGTGTCAAACATCTACCGTTAGTAAAACTAGCAGTTCAAAATAACAGAGGGGAGATATCTTAGAAGGGATGCCGAGGCAACACAAAGAGATTAACAGAGGACTAGGTCTGAAAACAGTCATGACGTTTATTAAGAAACAACATCGTCAATGCCAAAAGAACTTAGTACCGCGGAATCGCAAGGTTGTTTCAATATGATTCTAATTATTTCAGTCCGTATGGGTCTTAGTTATTATGACTGGCATCATTGACGGTAATTATATGTTAGTTATGAGGACAATGATTATGATTCTGGTTATAATGACGGTACTCATAATATCATCAGACAGACTAGGAACACCACCACGCAGCTAATTCTCGAACCACAAAAAATGAGATTGTTTGCCAGAACAACTACCAACACAAGAAAAGATACGAAGCGAAAGTAAATATTAGGCGTAGGAGAAGATGGATCGATGACATTCAAGTGCTTTTTCATCGACACGGAATGACAAAAGCCGTCGCAACCCAGCAGGCGATGGATCGCAAACTGTTTCTCTCTACGACGCTTAACTTGCATAAATGAAACCTGATATTGATGATAGTGATAATGATGCTAATGATGTTGGTGACGATGATAGCGATGATAATGTCGGTGACGAGTCTGGTGATGATGATGATGCTGTTTACGATAACAGCGATGAGCGATGATGAAAAGTTATTAGACAGAAAGATACTTTTAACACAGGCAAGTCCCTGCCTCCGGTCACAGGCAATTGAAAGTGTCTGCACAAACAATGATCTCACGGGCTTTAAATGTAAATAGCCACAATTCACTAAGTTAAGAGTGTGTATAATTAAGAGAAACACTGCTGGAAGGGACACTAACCCTTAATGATAGCGGAAATAATGACTGAGCAACGTTTATGATCACAATCTCCATTTCAATTGAGGAAAGCTAAAAAAAAAAAAAAAACTTGCAAGAATGTTACAAATATGAGTGGATAAAATGTTACAAAAGACACTTGACATGTCAACGTAAATTATCGCAGAAAGGAGAAAGAAAATTACAACGCTTGAACACGACTATTCAAATACTTCAGTGAGGAATCTTCAGTGACTCATGTATACAGAAATTGTTAGGAATTCGAGCGTAAAAGAACAATAGAAGGCAATTACGAGCAGCAAACAAAAGTATGCGGTAAATGAAATAATCAAGAATGGTAAACAAAAGATTAACTGTGTTGTCGAGATTTGTTAACTTCCTTTCGTTAGGTTGTCGAAAATGACTCAAGAAAGGGTAGAAATAGACAAAAACAATAATTCGGTGAGAAAACTTGGTCTGAGGTGAGTGAGATGCTGGGGTGGAATTAGGAATCTTTATATTATTACGTTGTTATGCGATTTCTCTGTGTAATTTAATTGTTATTTTATTTTTTTAAAAATATCTCTGTTTCAATTAACGTTTCCAACCGTTTTATGCATTAATTGTTATTGATTTCATCATTACGAAGCAGGGTATTTGCAGAACGACACTCTTTTCGCTGGAAAGATTCCATGGGTCACTTTGAACATTCCCTTGCATCGTGTATTGTGTGCCTCATATCCCTCGAATCTAACACTAAGTCAATCAATCACGTGCTATCTTCATAATTAATGTTAACTACAACCATTCTCTAATACACTGTTTCTTTTCTTGGTTGCCCATTCTGTTCGTTTATCTCTTGATGCTATCTTCCCATTTGTATTGTTGCTTACATTTTGCTCTGTTGCAAGTCAAGGACCCTTTTCACGCCTTCGGGCGTATTGGGTATATAAGGCCAGTCTTACATTTGATAGACCAAGCGGTACTTAGGAGGCTAAGTGGAAAACATCACGCCGGCCGCCTTTACTTCCCAGGACTGTACCTAGTACCCATTCAAGACTAGGTAGACCTCGGAGCTAGGGTCATTTTTGAAAAAGGACCCGAACCTACGATCTTCGGATCCGCAAGCGAGGGTCTGGCTGCTAGACCACGGAGGCTGTAATTGAGCAATTATACACATTTAGTAACTTGCCATTACTTTCTGGACCGTGGCCCTCGATACCATTGTCGAATCAGGTTTTCAAAAGAGAATTATGGGTAAATATTGATATTGTCTCTGTTCGCATTTTTTTTTTTTCAACAGCTCTCTACAATGCAGCAAGTACGGAATCACATTCTGTTCTTGTCGAGCCCTGGTCCTTTACCAGAATTTCTAAACCACTGTAATGACCTAAATGACCAAAATATTTCCAGTTTCGTGCCAAGAAGCTAATACTCGATTTTTTTTTAAAAATGTTCAGATAGTCCCCACCCGGGCAAGACAGCGGGTTACATCCGAGTGGTAGTGCTTTTGTTAGGGCTACCCCAGTTATCACTTCTCTGGAGATAGCATCATGATCTGCCAGTACCAGAGTTGTGTAGGATTTCACTTGTTGACTCGCCATTCAGACTTCAGATTGAATCATCTCAGGATGGTCAAACTTTCAGGCAGCAGAGCGGAGGGATGTGTAGTCAGAAGTGACTTTCAGGTCTTGTAGAATGTTACACTGTGTGATCGTCTTGATCCAGGCTATTTTAGGAATGGGCCTATAACATTACAGTTTTGAATAACTGTGTAAGATGTATGACTCAAATCATAATGCTGCCACACACAAGATAAATATTCTCGAAGTTTTTTATTATAATTTATTTCTAGGTCATGTGTAAAACTTCTTTCATACAGTTTAATTTCTGCAGCTATGAATGGGGTCAGTCTTCTGCACTTAGCGTAATTTCTTCAAGTTTGCCTCATTTTCAAAATGGTAAATTCTGACTGTAATTCTTGTCTGTACTGTAATAATTGTCTGTGGAGCATATTTGTGTCCTTCAGAAACCGGTTCGTGATTTTCATTGTAACTGCCGACAGGCAAAGTTAAATGTTCTACTGCCACTGAACTCGATCTTAGGAGAACAGCATCACATGTTTGTCTTGTTTTCAAAATGGATTTTACGAAAATCAATCATAAGACTAGCTACACTTTGCTTTTATCGTTACAATGTCGGTGTATGGAAAGATAATAAATCCCTCTCGAATCTCTAACATACATCAAACCACTTTGATATTTCCAACGCTACTGTAACAGCTGCTTGTTTTCCATGTTGTAGCGTTTTTTTAAATTGAATCAAGTATACTAGAAATCCCATACATTCTATGGTGCTCGCCTTCTAAGCCACCATAACTGCCTGTTAAACTACCTTTTCTGTTTCAAGACTTACCTTTTGCTTCTATGGGATGATCATTATTTTGCAGGCTTTCAGGCTTGACCAACTCTTCATTTGCGATTGTTTAAATTTGCTTGACTTTGATATTTCTATATTTAATTCTTTAATGGTATGCGGTTTTATTCATGCGTTTCCGTGTATTTTGTATGCATTATTTCTCATAAATACTGTATAATGAACCATAGTCGTTCACCACTTACAGTCTAGGGTCACTAGTTTATGTTGACAGCCAACATTCAACAGTGCTCTGATGTTCACCAAAAATGTGTTTCTAAAATGTTCCATAATTTTATCATCGTACAAGTGAACACACCTGTTAACTTGCAGCGCTATTTAAAAAAAAAATGTCACTGTGGGCATCGAAACCCCCACGCGTCCTAATGGGTGTGGCCCAGCGATCACCATTGTCGCCGGTGCTCTTTCATGTGTACACACCAGGAGTCACCAGTGCACAAAGCGTAGGCCTGGGCAGAACACTATCGTATGCAGATGATATCCTTCTGCACCGTCGAGGTGGAAATTACATTCAGGCTACAACATGAACTCAGCCAGGGGTGCCAGCAATAGAGAACGCAGGTGACCCTGTCAAAGGCTGATGCGGTCAACATTTTACAGGCCATATATGGCTGCCAGAACATTACGCGCTACCCATATTAGGTTTGGTTGACCTTGCAGCCACAGTCATTGTGAGACAAAGCTGACTCGATCTGGCATTGAGCCCTAGACAATCTGACCATTCTGTAACGTCTAGCTGTAAGGCTACTGAGGATTCCCGACAAGCAAGTAAACCAGGCTGCTCTAGTTCGACATCACAGCGCGATCAGGAAAAACTCATATTACCTACTGCTTCCGTCTCAAAGTCAAAGAAGAGTCTTCTGAGTGATTGTACTCGTTGTCATCTGATTAACTACTTGTCTTGCCTTTCACCCAAGTCGCCAGTGGTGTCCAACGCTTGCAGACACTAATGCTGCCTCATTCTGAGACAAGTGTTCATAACCTTCTATTTTAATGGTTAGCTCGTGCTACATGCGAGAGATCATCTCAGTCTCGCACATTTACAGTACACCTCGAAGTAGGACCAGTCCAGCCAACCCATCTGTTAGCTCGTTTCCATAAATACCCTCACAACCCGGGCAAAAGTCAATGAGACTGTACCACCTGTGACCTCTGGACGGATGTAAACTATTCCATACGAAGAAAACCTTACTCAGCCTTCTTGAAGCAAGCTATTTAAATTCGATACTATGACAAGATTTGCTGAGGAGATTCTCCACTCATCGGAACGCCGCAATTACCGCCTCAACCTCCATTTTCATACTGGTTGTGGTAATCTCGTATTTCAAGCTTACCTCAGTCATCCTTCTTCCAGTGCTTTTGCAATGCATCCCCATCCACGCTTAATCTGCATAATACTACAGTGCACCCATTGCTATATCTAAGAATGTTAAGTACTGATGCCATAATCCATTCCACCGAGCGACACATATATACCACATCCTAAAACACAAAGAGTGGTAAAAAAAATACGCTAGTACTTGAGGATCATTCTATTGTTAAATGCATTCACTAACCTCTAGGCCAGCCAGAGCTATTCAACTAACTTTATTCGTGAGACAACATTCTGAAAAGGAGATCATTACGGGCCACAGACCCAAGCCCTAACATAAAATGATCATTATTACAATACAACTGGAATTGATCCGCGGGCCACTTTCTAGATATCTGCTGGCAGATTTGACCCGATGCCACCAGTTGAATATTCCTGCACTCTATTACATAGAGACCCATATACTTCTGGGCTAATATGGACGCAGCTGGTAACACCAGTGCCCTTACCTTCTCTTCCTTAAAGGCTTCGAAGAACTCGACTATGTCAGCGGCGGTGCCGATGTAGACCAGGAGAAGCTGCGACAGTTGATCATGGGTCAGCTTCCCTTTGGGCAGGATCCACCGACCCATGATGAGGATGAGCAGCAGAAGCTGCTCCAGGAGACGAATCCACTCATCCGAGTCCAGGTCAATGGCGATTTTTATTTGTATCTCTGCCTGGTGACAGTGGAAATTGTTTTGTCAATTCGTTTTCTTTGTTATGTTTTCGGTACCAAACACATTTTCTGTTAAGGCAGTGAATATAGCAAAAAACACATGTAGATGACTCTTTTAAAACCAGTAACACATCGGGCTTTCGAATACTGATTCATAAATAATTGTAAATAAATGGGTGACTGCAGTCGAGCTCATGACGAGAAGTAATGTGACAGAAAGCTCAACAGAGAAATTGAAAACGCATTGATACGACCGAACATTTTAACCAACGCCTTGATCAACGATGCACTGAAAATAAAACAAACCCTAATAGGAAAACTCAAAGGATAAGTTAAAAGAGCTTGTTAGCTTAGTTGTCTTGTTTGGTGTTCGCACCACGAAGAAACCTTAGGGAAGGCGTGGTTGGAGGTGGGTGGGGGGGGGGGCATCAGCCCCCATTATACCATTTTTATTATTCTAGGGTGGGGCTTAGGGGGTTCAGTGCTTAAGTGTCTAATAATTGTTATGTTCTCAATGACAAAACATATAATAATACATTTCAAATAATACGAAATATATAAACAAGTGAGGGATGTGGACAACTTCACTTATCAAGTGTAGATTAGTAAAGTAAAGTAAAGTAAAGTAAAGTAAAAGTAAAGTAAAGTTAAGTTAAGTTAAGTAAAGTAAAGCACTTTTTTCACGCCTTTAGAAGTACTGGGCATAACCTAGACATATTTATCTCGTCACTTGGTGTGTAATGTGGTCAACAGCACGCCGACCGCCTTTACTTCCCAGAACTGCTTGTTTATTCGACAGATTAACATCATGGCACACGGGTATAACCCACTAGTACTCTGTTCTACTTCTATCTCAGGACTGAGTCTGAAGAATCTCAGCGCAGTGCACAAATGAGCTCAGCTGTACCGTCGAGGATCCCGAAATACTTTGAGTAGATTTTACACTCAAAAGTTTGCCTTGGCAGGGCCGTTAGGCTTCTCTTATTGATTTCCAACTACCAATGGATTTTTTACGTGCACAAGAAAACACACGTGCGTCCGATCTTACTACACAGAGACCAGAGGAAATTACTAGAAGTCCATGTGCAAATAAATACCAGCCATTGACCAGGGTATGAACACGAGACCTCCAGCACACGAGGCGGACACTATACCTCGAGATCACTCAACCCATGCAAGTTTATAGTACTTTTCTTATATAGAAGATGAAGAAAAATTGATGCTTAGTATTGACGCTTCATTACCTGAGAACAATACAGCTAGAATGCCTTTGCACTAGAACCTATAGGGGCTAAGAAATGAAGGCAGACCAAAAAATACACACAGAAGAGAGCCAGAGAGTGAAGTTTGGGAGGATATGGGGTGAGCTGCATGCAATAGCGAAGGATAAACCAACTTGGCATACATTTCTTGAGGGCCTATTCTCCAGTGTGGATACAAAGTAGGGGAAAAAAAAAGATACAAATTAGCTAAATAACGAAAAAAGAATATATAAAAAAAAAACATTTTCTAGTGGATGTTCCAGAGATAAACCAACAACACGCATGCACATTTAGTAAAATATCATATTCCAGGAATGATCCAGGAACACACATATAAGATCGACACTTATAATTGCTGTAATGGGCCAGTAACACACATAAAAAGTACTCAATTCTTACCCCAGTAATGATCCGGCAGCACAGCACATGCACACACATCATGCAATCGTTTCCACAGCAGGGAAACAGAAACATACATCCATGCACACATCATGGAACCGTTACCACAGTAAGGAGACAGAAATATACATCCCTATACACATCATGCAATCGTTACCACAGTAAGGAGATAGAAATATACATCCATAAAACACGTCAGACAATCGTTACCACAGTAAGGAGACAGAGATATACATTCATACACACGTCAGACAATCGTTACCACAGTAAGGAGACAAAATATACATCCATACACACGTCAGACAATCGTTACCACAGTAAGGAGACACAAATATACATCCATACACACGTCAGACAATCGTTACCACAGTAAGGAGATAGAAATATACATCCATACACACACCATACAATCGTTACTACAGTAAGGAGACAAAAATATACATCAATACACACGTCAGACAAATCGTTACCACTGTAAGGAGATAGAAATATACATCCATACACACACCAATATAAATCCATACACACACCAATATACATCCATACACACACCAATATAAATCCATACACACACCAATATACATCCATACACACACCATACAATCGTTACCACAGTAAGGAGACAGAAATATACATCCATACACACGTCAGACAATCGTTACCACAGTAAGGAGACAAAAATATACATCCATACACATATCATGCATCCGTTTCCACTGTAAGGAAACAGTAATATACATCAACACACACATTAAGTAACCCTTACCACAGTAAGGAGACAGAAATACACATCAACACACACATTAAGCAACCCTTCCCACAGTAAGTTGACAGAAGGTGTGCTGCGTGGTCTCGAGGCATGGTGTCCGCCTCGAGTGCTAGAGGTTCCGTGTTCAATCCTAGGTAAGAGCTGGGATTTTCTTCACGTGGACTTGTACTTTTAATAATTTCCCCTGGTCTCTTGATAGTGAGATTAGACGCTCGGGTGTATTGTTGCGCACGTATAAAAAAAAAATCCCTTGGCAGTTGGAAAACGAAAAGCGTAGTTTAACGGTGCTGCCCAGGCAAAATTTTTAGTTAAATATCTCACCCGTGCCACAGAGCCTGTGCACTTTGCTGAGCTTCTTCGGACTTAGACTTGATTTAGAAGCGGATGGGAGCACTTATAGGCACTTCCAGCATAGGACGTGTGTCATGATGTTGATCCGTTATACAAAACATCAAACCCCAAGGTGACAGAAATAAACATTCATACCCACATCAGAGTGTCCTTACCCCAAGAAAATTTCCCAGAGGAGCCTCGAGTCCCGTCGATTCATTCCTACAGTTCTTCATGGTGCTGTTGGTACACTCCAGCTTTTTCTCCAGCTCATGCAGCTTGAGGAACCAAATGGTTGGAACTATACACATCAGATAGATGAAGACACTAGGGCAGAACCTGCATTAAATGAGAACGTTGATAATGATGACTGTGATAATGCTATACATGCTTTTAATGTGTCAGTGTATAGTCATGGATATGCTGAGACTGCAGTCGGTGTCATATTTTCCACAAAAGATCGTGATGAACATTCTGTGTGTGTGTTTCATTGGCATAGGAGCGGAGCAGCTATAAGTTGTCCCGTTTGATTTGATGTTAAACAATACTAATAAAAAGAGATAGAACTCCACAACTGGAGCATGCACAACAGGAACCTAGTGATCATCAGTATGAGAGTCCACTCTTCAACAATTATTTCGGCCCTATTATCAATCCTATACAATCTCAAGGGGTGGGACCGTCTGGTTCATGACTCCAGGTCTCAGACATCTCCTGCTGCGCTTATCTAATCTAATATTACCAAGTGCTGTGTAACACGTGTTGCCACTGACCAGATTCCCAGCAGAACTTTCCAGCATAGGACTGCCAGTTACACAGTCGGGGTGTAGTCATTGCGTGTGTAGCCGTCACAGGTCTAGCTGTTTCTTTCTATCTATCTATTTATCTATCTATCTATCTATCTATCTATCTATCTATCTATCTATCTATCTATCTATCTATCTATCTATCTATCTATCTATCTATCTATCTATCTATCTATCTATCTATCTATCTATCTATCTATCTATCTATCTATCTATCTAATCTATCTATCTATCTATCTATCTATCTATCTATCTATCTATCTATCTATCTATCTATCTATCTATCTATCTATCTATCTATCTATCTATCTATCTATCTATCTATCTAATCTATCTATCTATCTATCTATCTATCTATCTATCTATCTATCTATCTATCTATCTATCTATCTATCTATCTATCTATCTATCTATCTATCTATCTATCTATCTATCTATCTATCTATCTATCTATCTATCTATCTATCTATCTATCTATCTATCTATCTATCTATCTATCTATCTATTTATCTATCTATTGTCTGTAAGTCTGTCTCTCTGTTTATTGATCCATCTATCCATCTTTCGTCTCTCTGTCCGTACATGTATCTTTCCTTCTGTGTGTGGGTTTGTCTGTCCACCTGCCGAACTGTCACTCTTATTGTATACTTTATTAACTTCCATTGCTCCCACCTCAACCCTAAATCCCAGACTGTCCGTAATCCCCATCTACTCTGTGCAGTCCTAGAGCAAGCGATCAGTCATGCCTCTGACAGGCTTTCATATCTTTCGCAATAACCTCCCTGGCAATCAAGCCCATCCCATAACAAGTGCAGTTATATGCGCACACACAAATCGTTCATTAAAGAGTTCCGGACACCGTGGTTTGCGTCTAGTGGGTAGTCACTGCGAAACCAAGCGCCATTGTTTTCTCTGCTTGCTTAGCACGTACTGTTAATATTAGACATAGATAAAATAACACAGCAGTCGTGGGTCTAATCTGCTGACATAATGACGACGGCGGAGCTTATGTTTAAGTTTATATTTATGTTTATTCGATAGATCAACAGCACTGCACACGGGTGTAACCCATAAGTGCTCCTTTCTGCTTAAAACTCAAACCTGAGTCAGGAGAATCTCAGCGCAGTGCAAAAATTCCGTAGCACCGGCGATGATCCTGAAATAGTTTAGGTATATTTTTTAACTCCAAATTTTTGCCCGGGTAGCGCTGTTAGGCTAATTTTTTCGATTCTAAACTACAAGGGATTTATTTACGTGCGAAAGAATACACACGGGCGTCCACTATTATTACCCAGAGACAAGGCAAATTACTAGAAGTCCACATGAAAACATCTCATTCTTTACTGGGGCATGAACCCGGGTCCTCCAGCACTCGAGGCAGACACCATACTTTGAGACCACCCAGTTCCCCGGTGGCGGAACAACTGTGGGGTAGACGCTTGCCTGAGGATCCGAAAATCGTTGATTCAATTCCGTTGGTGCCGGATTTTTGTTTTCATACCTGACGTTGGCTCCAAGTTCTACCCAGTTTTAAATGGATAGCAGGTAAATTCCCGGGAAGTAAAGGCGGCAAGCGCTATGTTGACCGCATTACCCATCAATCTATACAAATAGTATGTTAGCATCCTGTGCTAAATGCCCCAGTAACTTAATTCACATAGCCTCCACTTGTCTTGAGGAAACAAAGCAACTGTTTTCAACACTGAATATTTACAAATATGTATTCCTATATTTAACCGACTGAAAATAATCAGTCTAAAAATGCATGATAAAACAAACGGGGAAAACACCTGCGAAATTCATAGCAATCGTAAAACCAATCAAAGAAACACAAAACAGAAATAACTGGAGTGTTTTTACCGCGCTTGAAATATGCGCATTTCTCAGTAATTGCTACTAATACAGAGATGGGAAATGTGAATTTTTTTTTGAGTGTGTGTGTGCGACTTTTTTTGTTTTTTGCTCATCCTGGTGTCTGGTTTGCTTATAACAGTTTCTGGTTTTCTTATAACAGTTTCTGGTTTACTTATAAACGTTTCTGGTGTGCTTCTAGTGGTGTGTACAGATGGTTTGTGTATGTGTTTGGACACTGGTCGTACTAAAGTAATGTCCTAAATATATCAGTGAAAAGGACTAGTGGCAAACACAGTCAGCGGTATACATATACTGACATTTATAGCACAGATTCAAACACAGCCACTGTGAGTGTGTATATGTCTGTATGTGTGGGAATGTTTGTGTAAAAATAATTTAAACATATAATTTTAAGTTATTGATTTATTTTTTTAGGTTTAAAAGACGTATTATCATCATGGCACATCCATAAGTGCCCCGTTCTACTTCTAATTCAAGCCTTGGTGGGAAGAATCTCAGCGCAGTGCACGAACTTCGTAACACTAGCGAGGATCCTAATATACTTTGGGTATATTTTTTAAATTCCAAATTTTGCCCGACCAGCGCCGTTAGGCTACTCTTTTTTTTTTTCAACTGGCAAATGATTTTTCACGTACGCATCAATACACAGGGGCGTTCGATCTTACTACCCAGGGACCAGGAGATATTAGTAGAACACACTGGCGTCCGATCTCACTACCCAGACCTGGGGACCTGGGAAAATTAGTAGAAGTCCACGGGAAAAAATCCAAGTATTTACAGGGGCTTGAACCCGGGACCTACATCACTCGAGGCGAATGCCATGCATTGAGACCACGCAACCCCGATAAATACCTTTGATAAATTCGCTCTGATAAATACCTGCAGCTGACAAATGTTATTACAGCTAATTAATCACGCAGAACAGGTGAAAGATAGATCGAAAGACAGATAGAGGCAAAAAGACATAGAGACTGATAGATAGATATATAAATAGGTGGATGAAAATATAGATAGGCAGACAGGCAGACAAACAGACAGACAGAAAATCAGACAGAAAATATATGTCCACGTGTCCATTATCAAAATATCTCAAATCAAACGCCAGTCTGAATGTCATGCCGAACCCGCCAGTTCAAATGGAAACTACTCACGCTCAAGTTATGTTTATGTCTTCGCATGCGGTGACGGCACTTAGTGTCAGCTGCTAAAGTGGCAGCACGTGAAGCAGACATTATGCAGCAAGAGGACGCCCTCATCACGATCGGCTACTGAGTGTAGGATTGATGACTTGTCAAGGAAGTCCGGCGTTTAATGATTACCCTGATAGCAGGCAATAGTCGTGATAGATTTGCCGGACGATCAGTGGTTCTCAAACTGTGGTGTGATAGAGACATAATTTTTGCCTTTCTTGGATATGTGATAACTGATGATGACGCAAGTGACACAAACGTCAGACAGTGAATGTGAACAGCTAACTGATTTTTAAACATGCGCGGTTTATTAACACTTAGAGAGATTAACAACTCATTACGGAAATAAATATTTAATTAAAAAAAAACAATAATGAGAAAAAAAGGAGAAAGAGGATAATACAAGAAGAAGAAGAAAAAATAATCAGATACAAGAAGAAGAAAAAAGAAAAATAAAAAGAAAAGAGGAAGAAGAAGAAAAAAAAAAAGAAGAAGAAGGAAAAAAAAGAAAAGAAAGAAGAAGAAGAAGAAGAAGAAGAAAACTAGAAGAAGAAGAAGAAAGAAGAAGAAGAAGAAGAAGAAGAAGAAGAAGAAGAAGAAGAAGAAGAAGAAGAAGAAGAAGAAGAAGAAGAAGAAGAAGAAGAAGAAGAAGAAGAAGAAGAAGAAAAAGAAGGAGAAAAAGAAGAAAAATAAGAAGAAGAAAATAAAAAATAAGAAAAAAGAGGAAGAGGAAGAAAAAGAAGAAGAACAACAACAACACAATAACAACAACAACAACAACAACAAGCACAAATCAAAAGAATTAAACCACCCACCACTTCCACTCCTTGCCAGCCTTCTTGCCCAGGGTGATGGTCATCTCCACCAGCAACAGACACAAGACCACTGCCAGGTACCAGTAGCGCGGCTCACGGGTGGCTGTGGTCAGACGCCAGATGGAGATGACGCCATGAGCTGTAAACATCAGGCGGACTGCGATGGCTCGGAACACAGACAGGTAGCCCATCAAACGTGACCTAGGCTATCTGCAAGTCACAAGAACAATATCTTTAACACGAACTGACTTAAGACAAACACTATGTTAGGCTATCTCCAGGTCACAAGAACAATATCGATAACACGAACTGACTTGAGACAAGCACAATGTTAAGCTATCTATATATATACATACATATGTTAAAAATACATGTTAGTTACTGATAATCCTTATTCTGAATCTAACCATTCGGTCCATAAACGCTCGGACCCCTCCTTAGAAGCTCATCCTCATCGAGTGGACCGTGCCGTATGAGTCACGAATGTACAAGCTCGAAAAGTACTTTGAGCTCACGGCTGGCCTAAGGAGAAACAAAGCGTACGCAATTAAAATCTTTGCTCTCGAGGTAGACGCAAGAGGTCTTGTCTCCATATCCACTTACGATGTGCTCAAGCAGCTGGGCTTGCAATGAAATCAGCGTAAAAGTGGCCTAAAACAACTGGGTACAGCTACTGAAAGAGCTTCGAGCTGGCTATGGACACAACACACGGAACTTTGTGTTCATTTTTGTGAATCATCTTCTGCTTCACAAACACTGGCTGTAAACTCTGGCAGAAACTTCTGGTTTTTCCTCTACTCATCATCACGTAGCAGGTCCTATTCAAAACGTCGCTCTTATTACAGTCTGCCTGAAAGAAACTCGGTCTCTTGCCAGTTCTCCTGCCTCATGAACTTTCACACTCAAGAAGTCACTTATATCCTGTGCCCATCTTCGTGTCGGTCGGCCCCTGCCCCTCCTTCCTGGTACCATGCTTTCTGCTACAGTTTTTTCCAATCCGTAGTGGCGCTTGATATGACCAAAATATTTCAGCTTTCAAAAAAGGGTGCTGTTTATTAGCCAATCCTCCTTGATGTTCAGATCTTTTAAGATCTCAATCTTTCTCATCTTCTTTGTAAAAGATATTCTGAGAATAATCTATAGCATTTCAGCTCAAAAGTCCCTATTCTCTTTCTTAAGG